CCTTGAAAAACCTTTGGAGAATTAGACTAGGATGACCAAATTCAGCTGGGGGAGAAGGAAGTGAACGATCGGACTAGATTACGGGACTGAACTGTGTTCTTGGACACACAGACTAAACTTAGAGGCGGATTACGGCTCGCCCCGCACTAGAAGGAAACCTTTATGCCTAATATTGCTCGCTCCCTCACTTCCCATAATGCCATGTGCACCTTGTATCTCCTGAAGGCGTTCTGGATGATTCTGGCGGCCTCGTAAAGCTCCCTCTGCTCGCCGTCTGTCAGCGTCAGCAGGGCGAAATCTCGCTCCATCTTTCCATTGGCTGAGGCGTTGAGGAATTCTGCCCATGCTGCAGAAGAGGGAGGGCGGAGCCTCTGGAGGGCTAAAGCGCTGAGTGGTGAGGGGGGGCACACACGCCTGCAAGCACATGTGCACACATCTCATGACAACGTTTGGTTCTAATGGTTACACTTTTCTGGCCTCTTTTGGGGAGGGGCTTACCTGGGAGGGGAGTGTGCGTGGGTGTCGACCGTTTCCAGGTATGTAGCCAGCCAGGTGTCCTGTATGGCCGGGTTGTCCCACCTTTCTCGGAGCGGTGACTCCGCCCCCCTGGGGAAATCCTCCTGTTTGATTCGCTCTGGGGTTGCCTCGATGATTTGCTCTGCTAGCGTTGCCATGTCAACCTGTGGTGTGGGGATGGTAACCATAGCAACAGTGAATTTTTTTTCATTAAATACATTTAAAAAATGAGTCTGGTCTAAAGTACGGGACTATATTTTGGTACCTGCAGCACCTCCTCCTCCAGATACGCCTCTTCCTCGCCTTCGTTCTCGGCATTCTCACTGTAGCTCAGCAGCTGCTCCTCCAGTGTGGCGTGCGACCGCCGCCTGCTCGCCGTGTGCATGTATGACTGAGCGTGACTGGCAGAGACGCTCTCATAGTCCATGAGGTGAAGGGGGGAGTCTCTGGAACCACCAGGGTTCAAACCTGCAAGATCGAAATTGACGATCAGTGACCTCATCAGGTACGTCGGCGAATTACAAATAAATGAACGCTAATGTTACCTGTGCTGAAAGTGGTGTTTGTCTCCTCCCCCCACATGGACTCCAGAGGTAGGGAGGAGGGGGAGGGAGGGGAGACAGATAGTGAGGAAGAGGAGGAAGGAGACGAAGGGGAAGAGGGCGATGTCTCCATGGGGGCGGGGCCACTGGAGTAAGCAGAGCTAGGGGAGGGTGAAGAGGGGTCACTGGGGGAGGGGAGACTGCTGGAGGAGCTCAGACCTGTTGGGAAGAGTGCATACTGTTACAGCCAATCACAGAGATGGATTCAGGCCACATGATGGGCAACAGGTGTAAGCAGTACCTGTATCTGGGCTGGTGGAGAGAGGGGACAGTGGTGGCTGCGGTGTGTGCGTGTCTGCTGGAGGCGTGTGCACGTCTCTGGACACCACGTTAGCGAGCGTGCGCTGCATGTGCAGCTCCTCCAGCGCCGTGGCGAGGCGAGTGTGTCCTCGGGAGCGAGCAACGGCAAGAGGCAAGCGTCCCAGAGAATCAGGGATGCCCAGAGCCAGACTGTTCCAGCTGTAGAGGAGCTCTGCCGCCCTCTGATGGCCCAGCGCACATGCCCACATCTGGAATACACGTGACACAGAGGTGAGGGAAGCAGCAACCAGATGTTGGCGTGACAACTCTGACACTTCCATTTATGAGGATGGAAGATGGTCTCTATCCAAAAAGTGAATAAATTTGCTTTAATTCATGTATTGATTAAGGATTGCTCTTCAACATTTGTTGAAAACTAAAGTTACTCTTTAGTGTTGAAGTTGTCTTTTACATTCCTCATATGGCGCTCACTGCGTTACTGCTGGACAATGAAAGTTGACCTTTAGTTGAAACTCAGTTAGCAATACGACAGCAAGTAACACAACAGGATGCAAGCTGCTCTTTAGGGATCAAACTTGGTGTTTTAAGGCAGAAGTTCCTCTTCTTGGTACAAATTTGAAATATTGAACAATGAACTTTGACCCCGTTGGCCACTGATGTTTGTGTGTGTATATTTACCAGTGGCGTGCAGGAGAAGTGGTCGACATTCAGAGGATCGACTTCCTGTTCCAGGTCCAGACTGTCGCTGTTTACATTCCTGTGAACAGCAACAACAATGTCAACAAAGCAAAAACAACAGCAGTAACAGGAAAATGTGTGTGTGTGTGTGTGTGTGTGTGTGTGTTTACCTCCAGTGTATGAGTGTGTGGATCAGGTGTGTGTATCCCTGTGCAGCAGCCAGGTGGAGCAGCGTCATGCCACGGTGACGAACGGAGTGATGAAGCCTCTCTCCTCCTCCCCCTGACCACCGACCGCCCCTCATCATCCGCTCGCACACTCCCACAATCCTCCTTTCGAACCACTGAGAGGACTGACACACACACACACACACACACACACACACACACACACACACACACACACACACACACAGATCAGACAGCTTAATGTCAGCTTTGCCCTTTTTAACCTGCTCTGACCTCACCTGCTACCTGACTTCACAGGGTCATGTGACACTTTAGACCAATCACAGGGGAGCTCCTTTAGCTTGATAAATGATAGTTTATAAATCACCTCCTTCTCCTCCAGCTGGTAGGAAACATTACATTCATACCCTCCTCCCTACCCTCCAGTTTTACCTGAGACTCACCGAGGCTTGCACACCTCCCCCTCCCCTCCCTGTGAGGACAAGCGCGGCTAAAAATGACTGAAGGCAGAAAGGGAGAGAGAGAGAGAGTCTCTGCGATCCACCCAGCTGTCAGTCATCCATCAGGCTCTCGGACAGCTGCAGCACCAACACCATGCTAACACCGCGCTAACCGCACGCTAACCCGCGCAGTAAATAAACTCTGCGGTCTCCAGTTTACGCTCAACATTTTTATTTTAATTCAAAGCGACGTTTCCAGGCTGATTGATTACGTTCGCTCAGGTCAGCAATCAAAGACTCTAGGTCTGCAAAAGTGCCGCGATCGAGCTAAAACACTGGGTCTCTTTCTGACGCTCCTGGAGGATAAGTTACTCTGACTCATTCTATGAAAGGTTTAGGAAAAATAAATGCCTTTACGTTGCTAGAGTTGCTTTTAAAGTTGTTCTTTTGTAATGGAAGCTGCCCTTGAATTTCATCTTTAAGGCATCGCTCTTTAACTTTATGCAGATATTATTTGCATAATATATTTTGTTTTTGAAGGATTCAAGTTGCCGCTGAAGTTGAGTGTTGTTCTTCACAAGCCACTCTTAGTTTCTGTAGTCCGAGAAAGTACTGAAGGTGCTCTTTAAGCAATAAAGGATTAGTGTTAAAGGATGACTTTAATCCAGTTCCAGTATAATCCACTTTAAGCCTGTTAACTTTAATTTTCTCTTTAAGGACTGAAGTTAGTTTCAAAGCAGCTGTTTGAGCTGAGTTGTTGTTAAAGGTTTAAAGCTGAAGGTTTCATTTGTTCCTCGTGGAATAAAGTTGCTTTTTAAGCAAAAAAAGTGACTCTTAATTTTTTTCTGTTAGGAATAAAAGCCGATCATTAAGCGATAAAGTTGCTGTTAAAGCTTTAAGGATTAAGGGTGTTGTTGATGTTTCAAAGTTACCCTTCGGATGAAAGTTGCTCTTCAAGTTACTCTTTAGGCATTAAAGCTCCTGTTAAAGGCTTAAAGCTGCGCTTTATGTTGCTCGTTAGGAGTTCAGGTTGCTGGTGAATCTCCTTTAGCACAGTTCAGTGTAGATTAGTTGCTGTGTCCAGCTGCTCAGACAATGTGATTTTTAATTTTCTCGATCAGTGGAAAAAGCAGGCAGAGTTCAATCCAAGTGCCACCATGCTGACGCCTGAGGGTTGACACACACAAACATCTGTGTGTGCACAGCTGACTGACAGATGTGCACAGCTGCGTAACAGCCCGGGCATGAGAGGGTTAACGGGGCCTCCCTGAGCAGCTCTTCTTTCTCAAGACAACAGCAGATTGTTTCAGTTAAGGTCAAGTGTCTCTCTGTCACAGCGAGGCTATTTTAACTCGACCGCGGCGTCTGCCAAATTCCCATGACATCAGAGGGAGGGCGAGGGGGCGGAGGGAGGTTCAGAAGGTCACACCGTTTGTTCTTCACAGGATCCAGCTGTACGCGCTCGCCGCGAGGCCTCTGCTGCAGTTTGATCAGTTTAGAGGAGGATCCATCCAAGTTTCAGTCTTAGTGAATTTCAAATTAAAAGTTCAGCTGAACTGTTACTGCTTTCAGAATCGAGCTTCATTCGTCATCTTTTACTCTGTGTAGTAACTTTTTAGTTACTTTGTGGTGGTTTTGATTGTTGTTGTTTAGCTCCTGGCTTCAGGTTGCTACTTTGAATGACCTGAGTGTGGGCACCAAATGAAAGATGTGAAAATAACGACTTTTCATTGTATTTTTTTTGACGAACAGACGGCGTCACAAGACTGAATTGTTACCTACAGTTCAGTTTTACAGCTTTCTTACAAAGACATCTTACACTATAAAGGTGACTGCTGTTGTCATTTGGTGCTAAATAAATAAAAACTGTCGCTGTTAGTTATCCATTAACATGCACTCCATTTCCTCTGCTGTTAATTTTAATCATGGCTTCCTCAGGGCTCTATCCTTGGCCCACTTATATGATTTCTTCCAGCCAGACCACTCTCAGCTGTGATACCGCCCACTGCAGCTCTATGTCCCCCTGTCAGCCTCGACAGTTTGCTCACCTGCGTCAGTGATAGCAGACGCTGGGTGCTAAACACTTTCTAAGAGCTCAGCGATGATAAACACGGCGTCCGCTCTGACCTACAGTCAGCTCAGTTCATGGAACAAACATAAGAAGCTGTGTTAAAGTGTTCATCTTGGTTCTCTTTGTTTAAAATGTGCTCAGAATTGGATCATTGTCATCTGCTAATGCTTTGCACAACGTCACAAGTGCATTTAATTTTTCCCGCCATGATTATCGTGCTCCTCTCTACGCCACCATCAGATCACCGATATTATTAATAACTGTAAAGCATTGGATGGCTTTGCTCTGAAGTTCATTAAGAACCTCTTAACTCTCGGTGAATGTGAGTAAACAAAGATTCAGAGCTCAGTCCACCCACTCAGATCAAAACCTCTTTACTGACTTTTTAATCTCTTCTTAAAAGAGTATTTGTTGACATGCTTTGAGAGGAGTGAACACACGGAGACAGAAATCCAACACAATCGTGACTTATTGTAGGTAAGGAGCGCTTTCAGGAAAGTTTGGTATGAAGTCTCACCTGTTCGTGGTCCTCTGGTGGAGGAGGAGGGGGCGTGGCCAGCTGGCTGCCGTGCTGCTGTTGATTTTGCCGTTGCTGCTGCTGTTGGTTGTTGTCGCGGGCCATCTCCACCATCCTGCGCTCCATCTGCTCCAGCCGCTCGAGAATGGACATCCTGAACTGATTATCTGCAGGAAGAGAACACGGAGGGTGAAACCCTGTCATCCATCGTCTATAGTTACTGACGCAGCGCTGCGGGGTGATTTTTTGCATTGTAGGGCGTTAGCATGGCGAAACAAAACTTTACAATATTTATAGGTTTATTTCTGCAAGGTCGTCTCCACTAACAGACGTCACTTATTCCTGAAGCGTAAACTGCACAGGGTTGCTACTAACAGGGCTGCTGAGTGAGAAAACTCCCTGGGTCCTACACTTCCCATGATGCACCGGTATCGAGGGTTATCTCTGGTAAACTGCTGCAGATTCAACAGCAGAAGGACAAACCGTCAATCATCGGAGTCCTGAAGCTCAGAAAACTGTGTGTGTGTTGACAGCTCTAACCATGAGGCTGCTCCTAAATAACTTTTTAAAGAGCACCTCTTTATCACTCACACACACACACACACACGCACACACACACGCACACACACACACCACACACACACGCGCACACACACACAGTGTCTCACATGAAACTATCTGACTGACTTCAATCGCTCAGCCGCCTGGCACACCGAGTGTGTGTGAAGGAAATAAAAGCAGAGTCCCTAATATAGCCTGTGACCTGGACCCCCCCCAAACAAACACACACACTCTTACACACAGGGGACTCCCTGCTTTCTAACAGCTGCTGTGATTATTTTACCCGTTTCTCTGGATCGACCTTCGTCTGCTAACGAACAAAAACACCTACAAAGAGACACAAACTCAAAGAAAACGACGTCTGATTCGGACTCCGTCAGCCGGGGCGGCGGCCACGGGGACCTGAACGTCGTGACGGCTTTGAAAGTCTAAAAAAACAGAGTTTAAAATCCAAACAGAAATGATGAGATGATCAGTGCTTAAGGAAGAAGCAATGATTCAGATTCTCTCCTCAGAGAATGGCAGACAGCACATTAAAGTTAACGTTTTCTAGTTTTAAGGTCAAAAATAATTACACGTTACGCGTCGCACAACGTGAGAGACATGGCTTCAGTTTTAAAACCTTTAACAGTTACTTCCACCTGCAGCTCTCATGTTTGTTCCTGTTATTAAACACGTAATCAATACAAGTTTACAGAAAGAAAATTACCTCTCTGATGACTGTGGGTGGTTGCTGTGGTTACGTGGCAACCATGTAACCATGACAACCATCACATTAAAAAAATAAAAAAAACAACCCACACACACTCTCTTAGGTTGGTCCTACCGGCACCATCCTGCTGCCGAGTGTCCATCGCCTGTCTGTCTGTCTGTGGGCGTCTGATTTCAGGTGAGGAGCATGCTGGGTACGCTGTGATGTCACAGGACAAGGATCCTTATGTGTGCAGCAACGCACAAAGACACGCATGCCATGAGGAGGCAGACTGAGCGGCGGTACGAGGATCAGAGAGAGAGAGAGAGCAGGCAGGACGTCCAAACACTGCAGAAAGGCATGCTGGGAAACCCACAAAGAGGGAAGGGGAGGGGCGGGGAGGGGAGGCTGATAGAGTGTCTCCACTGACTGTGTGACATTCCTGAATGTGAGACGGAAACCCTCGACAGACAGACAGCTGAGGCCAGACAGCTGCCCTCTCACTCTGACCACAACAACCAACCGAGCTGAAAACAAGATGCTGCAGTTCCACTAATGTCCACCAGAGGCCCCCCCCCCAAGTGTGTAAGTGTTAAAGAGTCCAACTTCACAGCAGAAATCAGCATGTCTCTGTGTCAGAAAAACAGGAGTACACATTTAACAGCCTTTAAATGTCTGACCTGAAGTATTTTAAACTAAAATCTGAGTTTTTCTGGATGCAGGAACCGACAGAGATCACAGAGAAAAACAAAACTCAGAATGGAGTTCCACAAGGCTCTATTACTGATCCTCTACTTATTATTCAGATTATATCATCTTGTTTGTTTGCTTCTACAAATGTACAGAGGGTGTTTTTTTAAAAATATGCCACGTGTTAAAGTTATGATAATTCATTATTAGGGGCGTGGCCTCTGACAGGTTGCTGTAGCTGCTAGCTGTCTGCTAGGCCTCGCATCAGCTAATTGGAAACCTGTACTGGGCCTCTAGAACTTGTGCTGTGGGATCCTTCTTTTTTAAATCCAATAATCTGACAAATAATATGACTGCTGTGTGGTTAAATGTACTGTCCAAGAATTCTAAGCTCTAATTTCAATGAGTGCAATTCAAAGACTTTATTT